TTCCTGCCTTTATCTCCCCACTGCCCTTTTCCACCTCAAGGCGCACGTTCCGAGGATCTGTCGCCTGCCCGCCGCGCCCCAGCTTGGGCACACGGGGCCGATGGGTCCCTCGGGCTCCGTCTCTGGGACGTGCAGATTCCCCAGCCAGGTCCAGAGCAGCTCAGTGTGCCGTTCAGCACTTCCTCTGCTCGATGTGGTACACAGCCGTGGGAGAAAAGAGGTTTTCAAAAAGAAAATGAGCAAAAAATATTTTTTAAAAACATGGGCTGCAGGATGAGCACAGTGGCAGAGCTGAGTTCCATCCCCAGCACACACACACATACACAGACACACATTCACACACACACACTCACACACACATATGCACACATTATTATCGAAGTGTCTTCAGCATCACCTCAGGGATTTTCCTGTCTTCTGGAAGAAACTAAGGAGGTGAGGACTGGGCTGGGCTGGGCTGGGCTGGAGCACAGCGGACCGTGGACCAGGGGTCAGGCCAGGAGGGGCGGGTGGCCATGTCAATCCCCAGGTTAAGAAAATGGGGTCGTTTTCCTAGGGCCAACAAGCCTGAGGCCACACAGACAAGGCCGCCTCCACAGGAAGGCAGGGCAGGGCAGAGCAGGGCACACAGCAGGGAGCACCTAAAGCGCCAGGCCCCAGGGGGAGCGTCACCCTGGAGAGATGACAACAGTCCCTCTCCCCACGGGACCTGCACTCCAAGGCGTGGGAACGGGTGATCTCACAGGGAGGTGGTCAAATGCATGATGGGAAAAAGGAAAGTCCCAGAGAAGGGCACTTAGCTGAGCCCGGCCTGAGCACAGGAAGACCTCCCGGAGGCAGAACTTCAAGGGAAATTTGAAAGATGGCACTGATGGCACATGCCTGTAATCCCAGCACTCAGGAGGCTGAGGCAGGAGGATGGTTGCGAGTTCGAGATCAGCATGGGCTACAAAGTGAGCTCAAGCCCAGCCTGAACTGCACAGCAAGATCCTGTCTCAAAAAGACAAAAAAAAAAAAAAAGAAAGATGGCAATTGAGAGCCCAGGAGGAAAGAGACCCAACCCAAGCCACCCAGGACTCACCTGAAGGGAGAAGGGGGCTAGGGCACTGCTCGGTGACAGAGCAGGTGCTTAGCAGGCACACGCCTGGGCTCGACACCAGCAACAAAACAAGAAGAGAAGACACTGGGCAAAAGAGAGCCCCACAGATCCACAGCGGAATATGGAGAAGAAGCAACAGGATAGAAAAGGGAGAATGTTTGTCCGTAGGAAGCCGCACTTCCCCCTCCCAGGATGAAAGAACTAAGCCACAACTTCAGGACTGTGGGGAGGTTTGTATCAACGCCCAAAGAATATTCGTTAATCCTTCCTTAGAGCTTCACCTGCGCTTACATTTAGGCTACCGTTTCTGAGCGTTGCTGTCCAAACGCACTTCCACTAAAGTCCAATAAAATGTGTTTTTTTAAGAATCACTACCATAGCCCTTAGAATTCTATTGTGGCAGTCATACGATCACTGTGAAAATCAGTTTGGAGAGTCCTCAAAAAAATAAACCTAGAAACTCCATTTGACCCAGCTCTTCCCCTTCTAGGTATCTTCCCGAAAGATTGAAGACATCAAATTACAGCAATAGACACACACCCATGTTTACAGCACCACAATGCATAATAGCTAAATCTTGGAAGCAGCCTGTATGTCCATCAACCAATGAATGGATTTTAAAAAGGTGGAATTCACACACAATGGAGTACTACTCTGCCATAAAGAAGGATAGATTTCAGTCATTTGTAGGAAAATGCTTAAACAAGACCATCATGTGAAGTGAAATAAATCAGACACACCACCTTAAATATCACATGGTTTCTATGAGAAAGCAAAGATATAAATAAAGAGCAAAGTGAAAGATAGATCACAGGAAACAAGGAGATCAATCTTTTGCAAAAGGGAAGGAGACCAAGAGATGGGGGGTGGGAGGAGAGGGTGGGGAGGGGATAAAGAAGAGTTAGGGTGTGTGCTGTCCGGGTGCCCACTCCCTACAATAAAGGCAACCACTGCGTACAGCAGACAGGGACTGAAAAAACAAAACTAAAGAATTCATGTGGAGCCATCTTGTTTAGGAAGACAGACAGACGCACAGACCAGCTTCCCCACAGGCCTCGGCCCGCATCAGCAGGGGCTGAGCCAGGCCACATGTGTCTGGGCAGGGCCATGCGGACGGGGTCAGCTGGGCTCAGGCATCCTCCAGCTGGGGGGGCCGCCTCCCTCCTCTGCACCTGAGCAGCTGAGCTGAGCGGACGCTGGTCCAAGCCACGCCCCCGGAAGCCCTGGTGTCCACATCGAGTTGACCCAGCTTGATGAAATTACTATGTTTATGACCTTCGGGTTCCTCGGAAAATTGGCTTCTGTGATGAAGTTATTACAAAAGACCAACTAGCATGGACCTGACAGCTCCAGCTCTATTATTCCACTTCCTCATCAGTATCTTCCTGTCACACCCTCTGGGGACGCCCCCCATGGACAAGTGTCCCTGTGGTCACAGACTGGGTCATCACACACTTCTCTGGAACGAGCGAAGTAATGACAGCACAACACTGTAGAGTAGCTGAACGTCTATTATTTAAAAAAAACTTCTCCAGACATGCACGAAGTCTTTCAACGGTTGTTTGAAAAGGGCAAAGCCCACACTTCGCCTTGCAGAGTGGAGATTGCGTCAGGGATGTGCCTGGGTCACAGTGACCTTTTTACTCAAAAGCAGTATCTCAGAAAAGGACTCCTCTGGGTGCTCTCCTTCCTGTGAATCGCAGCAAGCATCCCGGGTTTGGGGTCACCAGGGAGGAGCCGCGCCGCCCTCTGGCCCACGCAGCCTGCACCAAGCCTCCCGGCCACCTCCTTCTGGGAGCCGCCAGTGGGCAGGGTGGCCTGCGATGGGGCGTCTCTGCCCTTCTCTGCACGGCTGGTTGCCGGCACCGGGCCTGGCCCTGCAGGACTCCAGTCCCCCGGCCACCCTGTTTGACAGCTACGGCTGTGTGGTTCATGTGGGATCAAAGCACGCTGCTGCACCATGCAGGGTCACAGAGAGGCCAGCAGGCCAGAGCCACCGCAGCCCTTTTTATGATCCACCCGACATTTGATCAGATGTACATGGGGCGATTTCTCACCTAGCATTGATTGCTGTTTTCAGATTCTCTTAATATTTTAACATCTGTGATTTTAAAAATGGATGAAATAAACAAGGCGCGGTAATGAACACCTGTCATCCTAGCACTCAGAAGGCTGAGGCAGGAGGACAGCCGTGAATTAATGGTCAGCCTGAACTACATAGCAAGATTGTCTTTAAAAAAAAAAAAAAAGGCATTAAAAAATGGCTAGAATTAAAGAATTCACAAATCTGTTGTGGGTTTCAGGAAGTTTCTTTTTCCCAGTTCCCTGTTTCTATTGATTATGGCAACATCATCCATTTTTCTTCTTCTTTGTATTCCCAAACCTGATAAACCAATAAGATCCATCTACTCCTTCTTCAGAATGCTCTGACATTCAATCCATGGCACTGTTTCGACCACTGCCATCCTTGTGAATACATTAACCATGTCACCTGTATAGAGCTGCACACACAGACAGACACGTGTGATTATATGTGCCCCTCATAGGTGTGGACTAGCACACACATCTCACAGATAGATTGAACCTACACACACACGTGACGTGTGTACCGTATATATAATATCACAAGACAGAAGCATGACAAAGCAGGGGCAGGTTCTGTGGATCTTTTTCTCAAGTAACAGATTTGGGGTGAAATATTCAACACGCACACACGAAGGAAATGGGAACTCACCGGCTGACCTCCCCACCAGCGGTGGTTAAACTTCTCCCGGCCTCGGAGGTGGAAGGTGGCATCGAACACGGGGTCATACATGGAATTGCCCACAATGCCATGCGATTCTGGATACAGCCCCTGGGCGAGACAGCAGATTCAGTGTTAAGACAGCAACGCGATAATCTACGTACGTTTGTCCTACGATCAATTTTCTTATCAGAGAAGTTCTTGTAAGCTGGCACTTCATTTCCAAAATCATATCCGATACTTGCAGCCCTTTGCGAGTTATAAGCCATTTGAGAAAGGAAATATTTAGTTTTCTTAAGTGTTGGAAGAATAAAAACAACACTTTTATTATTTTAGGGTGAAATTTACACATATGCCTCCATGGTACTTTGATTTCTAAATACTCTTTTCCTTCTTTCCGAGCTGGTTCTTCCCCTCACACAACAGAGAGTGGTCACAGAGTGAAAAGTAATTTGTGTTTTAAAGAAGAAAATCAAGTAGAGTTGGAGCATCTGAAAATGAAAATATAGCGACTGTAAAATCAACTTCTTTTGTTTTGCAAATTCAGAAAATAAACAATAGGCCGTCTGGTGCCTGCGATCGATCAGCGTTGGGTGCTCAGATGGAGCCGTGCCTGAGCACAGCTGGGTTCTCACTGACGGGTGTTGTGGAGCCATCACACACAAAGCTAACAACTGCTGTGGGAAACAAATCTCCTCTGAACATGGAGAAATGTGTTTTAAAATTCTCCACTTTAAGCCGGGTGTGGTGCACACACCTGGAATGTCCAGCACTCTGGAGGCTGAGGCAAGAGGATCACTATGAGTTCAAGACCAGCCTGAACTATGTGGCGAGACCCTATCTCAACCCCCTATCTTCCCTTTAAATCATCCCCGGATAAACCAGCCCTTCGACTACACAGCATTTGGGAGGATACTCACGGTGGCCAAGGTGTACAAGTTCGGGAAGGTTTTGGTCGGGTACACGGGCCTCATGTAGGGAGAATGTGTACCGCAGGACCCTGCAAACACAAGGTCAGCTGTTAGGACCAAGGAGCCAGTGACAGTCCCTTCTTGGGTAAATCCATGCTATGACACTCAGGAAATCTACTACTGCCAGCCTGGGTACTCCCAATAGCACAAGGCACTTGCACAGCGGGTGGGTGGGTGGGGCGGAGGCCGGGGCCGGGCGGCAGGTGGGCGGACTCACTCAGCTTCTCGATGTTGGGCATGACCTTGCTGCCCTTCTTCATGTAGGATGCGCGGAACCCATCCACTGAGAAGATGATGAGCGGCGGGCGGACAAACCTGAAACGGTGACAGTTGCGGCTCAGAGAAGCAGCGGCCACGGCTCCCGGCGCACGGCCACCCGCACTGCCTGAGAGCAGCAATTCGGCAATCTCCCAGGACGCGTGCGTGGGCACCCGGGTCTCATCCCACATTCGAGGTGACATTGGTCCAGACTAACTGACCGAGAGAAAGGGCTGGACTCTAGACTTTGCTTAATGTACACCCTCTGCTGCTGCTGCTCCTTGCTTTACAAACAAAAATAACACGCGCTACCTTTCAAACACTTACATTTGCCTGGAATATATACTCTTGCAGTGCCACCTGGAAAACTCCTCTTCACCCCTTGAAACCCAGCTCAGAGTTTCCTTTCTTACAATGTTAGCTGCTCACACTTCCAACTTCCTTTGAGATGTGATGTCACACATCTCTTTCATCAGCCATATGTACGTCATTGTGCGCTGCACTGCAATGACCCGCTAAGATGCCCCTCTTCTTCACAAGTTTCAAAGCCCTGTGTATCTCAATCGTCTTCCTATGTTGTGGACCCATAGTAAGTCTGCAGTAACAAACTCAGTCATTCAAATACCCGAATTAATGGACGAATGCTCAAATGTAAAATTATTAGCACTCCGACCTCTAAATCTACACACTCATTCTAAAGTTCTCTTCACTTTAATTACAAAACGCTTTAAAAAATAATTTAAATTACAAAGATCTCTAAAAAGTATACCACTAAAGAACTAGGTGATTCATTTACCCAGGCCAGAAACCAATGAAATGACCCTTTATTATCATATAAAGGTGCATTGGTCAATCAAACTCGAGCATACTAAAACACATGGGAAATTATTTCTAACAGTCTGAGGCTAATTGGGCAAGTATAAGTTTGTATTTATTTAAAGCCACATAATAAATACAACACCTTTTAAATGAGCCATATGTGAAGCACACTGAACACTGTTATATGAGTTGACAGGTACTGCAACTCATCATTGACCAGGGCCTAACGCTACAGATTCCTTTTTCCTCAAAAATCACACCTTACAAGAGTCAGGAACTGCTGCCACCCTATTCTACCAGCCCAAAGAAGTTCAAATGTCTCACGAAGGTTAAAAAGGAAGCAAATAAAAACATCTAGTCAGTGCCTCTGACTGCTTTGCCTAACACAGACACGCATTTAAAAGACCAAGTACATTACGGAAACACATCTGCTGAAAAGGCATTTTGAAAGGTCCCTGGGGTGTCAGCAGTTTCCTGGAAGGCCCCTCAGTGCCTGACACTGCTCACACCCGAGCTGTGGGATGTCACTCCAGCCCTGCTGTGCCCCAGCCCGGCCCTGCTTCAAGGTTTCCTGGGGTTTCCACGCCCTGGAGGACAGTGTTTACTTCCGCATCTCCCACTTCCGTTCCCCTCCCCCACTCTTCCAAAGGGCCAAGAAGCAGAACTCCAGGGAAAAACACTGAAATAGAAAAAAAAAAAAAAAAAAGCCCCGGCCTAAAACGCTTCTTTCTCCCATGATATTCAGACGCACTTTGCAAAACCTTCAGCTACGTGGAAGACGGGGATAGCTCTTCTCAAGTCAAAAGGAAAAAAGCAATCCAAATGTATGGATAGCTTTGGGGTGTCAAATTACCTGTGAGTACTCTCCAGCGTGTCTGTGGGACAGGATACCAATTTCACATCACTTATAAGCATTTACCCACCCACTCTCCGTGCCGCTTATCAAGTGATCACTTAGACATCGTGAGGTCTGCAGTCCACTCACCCAGCAGGACACTCTGGGGTCTTTATCTCCTCACAGTCATCGTCCACCCAGTGCGATTCTCCTACAAGGGAAAGTGGCCACAGCTACCGTGAAGTGTAATTAGAAATGTCACCCAGGGCCTGGAAGCAGACGGTCCTGGGACTGATGTCCTCTTGGGTACTTGCTGATGGCACAGCCTCTAAAAAAAGCTCTGAAATAAAGTCTGGTGTCTGGTTTGGCTTTTAAAGTACACCCATACCTGGTGGGAAAGCTAAGATTTAATAACCTCAAGTGCTGTTTATTTGAGCCTCCAGAGCCTAGATGGTTGGTAGATTTAAAAAACCAGTGGCGTCAGTGAACTGAATTTCATGTCTGCATCCCTCCAGGAACAAACTGTTTGGTCATTAGATGGAACATTCTTTTCTCTACCACTGAAGATCCCAAAGCCATAGAACACACGACACGACTTCCCTGTAGAGAAGGCGGAAGGCTCAGAGCGTAGGGGGTGATCAGTGACGGATGACAGTGGAGAGATTATCTGCCAATGGACCCGTGTACAGCCTTGAATTTAGAAATGAAGCTAATGCTTCCTTTCATTCTAATCCTTTACTGAGATCTGGGAACATGAACTTTGCTCTTCCCTGAGTTAGCCCTATCAAGAACGGAGAATAAAAAAAAAGTTTAGATTTAAAGTATAAATATATATATATATATATATATATATACCAGTCTGGGTCTCCAGTGTGGCAGTGTTCGTTATAAGAAGCTTTAAGAAGTGGAGTCTGACCAGGGGTAGTGGCGCATGCCTGTAATCTCAGCACTAGGGAGGCTGAGGCAGGAGGATCGTTGCAAGTTTGAGGCCAGCCTAGACTATATAGTGAGGTCAAGGCCAGCCTGAACTACAAAGCAAGGCCCTGTCTCAAAAAAAAAAAAAAATGGCAGACTCTAGTGAAGAGAATTAGTCACCCTCTGGAGAGACTAACGCCAGCACCGCAGGACTGGGTGAGCTCCCACAAGAATGGGTTGCAGAAGGAGAGGCGGCGGTTCGCGCTCTGTACAAGTTCCCACCACTGAGGCACGAGCCAGCATGGTGTGACGTAGCGGGAAAGCCCTCACCAGAGCGCTGATGGTCCAAATCTGTAATCTAAAATACACCTTCTTTTCAGTACAGAACTCCCAGCCTCAGGTGATTTGCTACAGCAACACAAAACACGCTGGGACAGCCTTCTTCAGAGGAACAGGCAATTATCAGAAAGAGCGGACCTTAAGTTGTTCCAAGACAAACAAAAATGACATGTGTCAAACGGAAGTTTAATGTATTGCCCATCCTTTGGAGAAACGCCTCTCACGTGAAGACCACTAGCATAGGCTCTAGTAAGTGTGTGACACCGAGAAGTGCCGTGCTCCTTGAAGTGGGGAGCTTTGCCAAGCGTGTGGCAACCCAGGGAGTCTATGTGGGCCTCACCAAAGCTCTGGCACTCGAATATCAAGCCAGCAAAAGCCGCTTTAATATTTAATCATTCAATGACCAAAGACTTCTTTCTTCATCATCACACGATTTTTCCTCATAGCCTTTGTGGCTCAGTGGTACAATTAGAGAAATTTAAAAAGAAAAAGAAATAAATTCTTAATCAAATTTTACCCTTTAAAGTAAAAGCATAATTGTTAGGGTTGAGGACACTCAGGACACAGTAGCTTTTCAGCCCGGGAGTGTACGTGTGAATACCCTCTGGGTACCCCAGCAGCTCCCGTATTTCAGAACTGACTTGCTTCTCTCCTGAAATCTTTTGAACAGAAACTGTGACGTGTACCATATCGGAGAGAGGAAAAAGGGTTAACTGAGAAACTAACAGAGACTTAGGAGCTGTAGATAAAGATCCTTGAGTCTTCCCAAATTAACATCTGTAAGTGGCTGGCAAGGTGCCTTACGCTCCTTAGAGACAGGAAGTGCATCTTTTATTCTTCGCAGCCCATTGGTTATTGTTAATTATTTCAATAAAGCACGCAGTGTGCCATCAACCATACAAAGTCCACACATGGGCCTGTACGGCCTTGGGTACAACAGGAACTGTTGGGGCCCTCACGACCTAAACCAGTAACTGCTCCCCAAAGCCCGCACCTTGGGAAACTTGCACAGAATTCATGCCCTTTGCCCCAAAGGAGTAACTTGAGACTTGCCATAGAGCAGGCCACGGCAAACCCGTCCCTGAGACCACATCCTCCCTGGATGCCCTGCCCCTACCCCTCGCCCGCCTCCTCTGCCCTCTCACGGGGCTCTGGTACAAAGCACCCCTCAAAAAGCTCCAGGCACTAATTCCTATCTCAGGCTTGTCATCTAGGAAACCTGACCCAAAACCCAGACGAAGTGCAGAAGCCTCTTCCTTGTCATAGTTCCACCTACTTAGGAAACTTCGCTTTACTCCCTGGTTATTTCTGATCAATGGAAATGAAGGTGAAAACAAGCATGAGAAAACACAGAGCACAGGGGCTGGGGATTTAGCTCAGCGGCACAGCACCTGCCTGGCAAGCACAAGGTCATGAGTTTGATTCCCGGTACCAGAAAAAAAAGAAAACACAGAGCACAACTCCCCTCCTCCGAAAGCCACAGGTAAGGTGTCCAACCTGTCACATGTGGAGTGCCTCGGACACCCCTACTCTCCATCGCTTAAATCACAGGCCAGTGCCCCAGCTGGTACCTTTGCAAACCACTTGGTAGTTGGTGCAGCAGTCTCCGCGGGCCAGACAGTCCTCCGAGCAGTGGCAGGCATGCTCCTCATTCCGAACCTCTCCGCATCGGTCCTTGGTGCACTCCCAGCCGCGAGCTGCAATCGCCAGAACAGAGCACGTTCCCCGCTGTCCACGGCACAGGAAAGAGCCGTGCAGGGCCCCCGGACTCCCCACAGGGGGAGCTAAATGTACATGTCCTGTACTCTGGGTGTGGCATCTGAGTTGAGTCAGCCCCTGGCCTGCAAGGTACCTGGAGAATTTACATATAGGATGCATTTCTGCTTTTTTCAAATTGCAGGACAAACTCAAAAGCCCCATGGAGCTCTTTTGGAAAAATGGAATTGGAAAAGAAAAAAAAAGTATCCCTACCATTCCCAGGTTGTCTAATGCGCTCAGTACAGTGTCCTCAGAAGGTTCTGCAGACAGCCTGTCACTGAAGGACAGTCCTAGCGTTCTGCTTGTTTGTTTTGGGAAGTAGCTTTGCTCAACTCGGATCAGCTTGATTTTAAAACAAGAGACAAATCATGCTGCTATAAACATTGGTGCACATACACCACTGTGGTATGACTTTTAATTTTACCTTTTCTCCATAAAATAAAATAAAAAAAAAAAAGAGAGAGAGAGAGAGAGCAGCTGCTGCCTGCTTAGGGCCCGCCTGGAGCCCAAGTCCCTACACAGCTCTGAAGAGCAAAAAAGAACCAAAGCATTCACAGCCCCAACCATGGGGCCAAACTAAGCCTCTGCACCTCCAGGGTCCCGGCTTCCACGAGGCCAGCAGACAGCACACATTCCCGTCCGTAGGCTCTCCACTGAAAGCTCACGGTCCCACCCTTCCAAGAGAAAATGTTCTGAAAAGGATCTTTTCATTTTAATGACAGCACTGTGTTTTCAGTTTGTTTGACTTTTTCTTTAACTAGAAGCTCTGAGGCAGGAAAACAATCACATCTCTCTTTTCACCATTGTATTTCCAGGCTCAGAGTGATGTGTGCCGTGTGCTGAGAATATGTATGAAATCCATGGAAATGAGCACCAAGGTAAATGATGGCTCCACGTGCAGCTGCAGGCCGGCCAGCTCCCACGGCTAATTCACCTGCGCAGGAGCCCTTGTCCCACGCCTTCCACGGGGACAGCAACAGTCCCGGAATGGACTAAAGAGCCAGAGAGACCAAGGCCCCGTCTCACGGGACATACATTGCAAATGGAAGAAACAGACAGCATCAAGTAAAGCGTTTCACAGGGTCTCATCAGCTAGCACTGCACATTGTGAAGGAAGTCACGAAAGACACTGGCAGAGAGTGCTGGGAGGACTAGAGCTGCTCCTGGAGGTTGGATGGTCAAGAAAAGCACAGTTGGAGCTGGGCGTGCTGCAGCACACCTGTAATCCCGGCACTCGGGAGGCTGAGGCAGGAGAATTGCTGCAAGTTCCAGGCCAGCCTGGGCTACACAGTGAGTTCAGGACCAGCCTGCACTACATAGTGAGACCCTGTCTCAAATTAAAAGAAGAATAGGTTAGATTAGAATAGAGTAGAGTAGAGTAGAGTAGAGTAGAGTAGAGTAGAGTAGAATAGAATAGAATAGAATAGAATAGAATAGAATAGAATAGAATAGAATAGAATAGGAATAGGAATAGAATAAAGTTAGGATTCAAACTAAACTACAAGCAAAACAGGAGTCAGCTATACCATTTTCAAAGCAAATAGGTGAAGTAAAATAAAAATATTTAACCTTATTGGAAAATAAGATTACCTATCAGTTCAGATAAAAGCACCTTTAAAGATGAGAGTGCTTTGGGCTGGGATACAGGTCAGTGGCAGGGTGCTTGCCTAATATGCAGAAGGCCCTGAGTTGTATCCTTAGGAGAGAGAAAGACAGACAGACAGACAAAATGTCCAATGATAAAAAGGAGTACTGAAATGCTCTTGGGCCCCTTGATAGAAATGTAAGCATTCAAAATACATTTTTATAATGTACATTTAAATTTTTTAAATGTGTATACACTCTGATCCAGAAATACCACTGCTAGGACTGTACCTTATGGAAAATAAACAAAAATATGAATGTACATGAGCAGGACTTCCTGATACGTTCATATTAATAAAACTTAGGGAGATATAAATGTCGATTAACTGTTCAATCTACTGAGTTTCAACTCCTCAATTCGACGCAAGGTAGTCATTCAAAAGAACTACTTGAGGCTGAAGCAGGAAGGTTTGCAAGTTCAAGGACATCTTGAGAAACTTAGCAAGGCCCAGTCTCAAAGTAAAATAATCACAAGGGCCATGGTGTAGCTCCGTGGTGGACTGCTTGCCTAGCACAAGCAAGAACTTGAGTTCATGCTCCAATACCGGAAAAAAAAAAAAAAAAAAAAAAACCACAGCATGATGTGTACGACGTTTATGAAGGTTTACAGATGTAGAGACCACCACACACGTGCATATACACATGCTTGTGTAAATACACACGCATGCATGCTCGGCGCACACGGAGACGCAGACAGCAGGCTTTCTTCACGCTGAAACACTTTGCTTGTTTCTAGAGAGTCCTTGGGTCAGATTAGTCGAGCCTCAGGTACAGCCTTGAACTCCTTACTCTTACGTGATACTTGATTTTCCCACTTTCACCGTATGTTACCTTTGTGCACCCAGGAGCACACTACTTAGCAAATGTCCTGAGTGTCCCATCTTTATTAAACCCAGGAAGGAGGGCCTGAGGTAAGTGGCGTCAGGATGCCTGCTCACCTCTGCAAGGAACCGGGGACGGGGCTCTGCAAGCTGACTTTCCATGTCGGGAACAAGACGCTCCAGCTCGGGAGGCAGCACAGAACGCTAGGGAATCCTCAGCGCCAAGCAGACCCCACCACAGAACCCTAGGGAAGCCTCAGCACCAGGCAGACCCGCCACTAGTTCACAGCAAGGCTGGAGCTGCGAAGAGTTAGTCTTTTAGCCAAAGCCTCCCCTGGAAACTCTTGTTTATGGCGGTCTCGGCACTCAAGTGTACAGACCTGCCGCAGAGGGACTGGGAGAAGTTCCAAAGAAAAGCATAGGCAACAACAGCAAAACGCAGCGACGCGTCTGGAAAATGAATTATCTAGAAAACGGTCTGGTGAAGCTCTCCTTATTTTGCAGGAGGTGGGGGAAATGGATCAGAATTAGTAAGGGAGTCGATGTCCACGTTCATATATCAAAAGCAATGGTCTCAGTAAAAGAGAATAATGTCTCTGCTTCTAATTATATCATTAAAAGATCAGACTAATAATAGTAACGATAATACGAGTTAGGCTTTGAAAAGAACCATTGCCACATAAAAGTCCAAAGGGAAGCAATAACGTGTCAAGAGAGTCAGGAGCCCCACTTCCGGCGGTGCTAAAGAAGGGCTGGTTATTGTCTCACTGGGATGGCTTGGGCGGGGCTTTGCCTAGGAGGGCGCTGCCCCGCGTGGCACCTCCCATGCCTTCCGTGAAATGTTTGGCTCTGAAAACAGCAAGAGGCTGCTGAGGTCCTCAGCGGGGCTCTTTCTCACATCACGTGCATTCACCCCACAGCTTTCGTGGAGAATAAGTGTAAAGAAAATACAGAAAACCTTGGAGGAAGAGTTTAGAGCTGCCTGGAGCAGAAGACACCAAATAAAATTCCGTACGCTCTCCAATCGCACCGCGGAAGACCAAGAGCTGGTACAGAAAGTGAGAAGAAGCGAACACCGGAGGCTGGCAGGCCAGCCGGAAGCATTTTCCAGGTGGGAAAGAAACGAAGAGAGGAGGGAGGGTGCAGGGACATAAAAAGCATGAAGACAGGGTCGTCCATGCACCGACGCCCAAGGACGAACGGAGCCCAAGGACGAACGGAGCCGTTAGGCACTGCAGGCGCGCACTCCTAAAAATAGCATTTTATATTTAAAAAATAATAAAGTAAAATAAAACCCAGCACTCTAAGAATGTGCACAGTTTTAGCCCACACGCACCAGCAGCGAATGCAGGAGGTGACACAGTGACAGAAAGGACGAAGAGGCGCGAAAGCCCAGCTAAGGACGGCTGCAGAGAGCACCGCCAGCTCGAGGGCGGAATGTGTCCGCACCCAGGGTGTGCTCACCGTGCAGTCAGCACTCACGCAGGACACGAAACTCAAATGCACACCTGGTCGGCCAAAGCAGGGACAGCTCCGATACAGCTCAGCAGGGGTCTCCACCACCCGCTGGAGGCTGCCCAGGGTGCCAGGGTTACCTACCGGTCTTCAAACAGAGCTCATCGAAGTCGTGGCAGCAGCTGCTGTAGCTCTTACACAGGTTGTCACAGCGACATTCCGGGGGTCCAACCTCCTGCAGCTCAAAGCATCTGCCCTTGCACGATCCAGAGATGTTGGTCCAGGGAGAGTCTGACAAGACTGCAAGAACAAAGGGCAGAGGCGATGGCTTGGTAGTGAGTCGTGTCACCGTGGAGGGGCGGCCTGCAGTCAACCTCTTGGTGGGAAGCCAGGCTCTGTCACCTCCCTCCCCTGTGCTCTGAGAAGGTGGCTAAACCAGCTTGTGCTACGGTTTCTCGTCTGGAAAGTGGGGGCTTCATAAAAGTAATGGTAGGGGCCAGGCATGTGGTGCATGCCCGTAATCGCAGCACTTGGGGAACAGAGGCAGCATCTCTCCTAGTTCAAGGCCAGCCTGGGCTATACAGAGACACTCTGTCTCAAAAGCGAAAAATAAATAAATATTTATTTTTATTAAATAATTTTATTAAATAAAATTTATTAATAATTTTATTAAATATTTATTTTTATTAAAACAACTCTGAGTTGAAATGAGAATTTAACAAAACAAGCCATTTTAAAATACTTCACAAGGTGTCAAACATGCAAAGAGTAGCAAATGTTATCGGTTTGATTGCTATTTATTACTGCACATCTGAGATGGTGAAAAGCCCCTGTGGACATAAAAGGTCATTTGCCTACTTAGAAATCCATGCCTTTTATAAGGAATATCGAGCTCAAATGTTAGGGAAATAGCACAAACAGATGTGACTGGAAGAGAAGACTTACAACCGCTTGTAGCCAGGAAAACTCCCCCGTAGCTAGCGCTATACAGTCTCAGCTGGCTGAAAACAAACCCTCTCTATCATTATCTTCATGTCAGATAATTATTTATCTAGAAATCTCGAGAATCAACCAGATTTTGGAAAAGGAAAGAATTCAGTGAGATGACTAATTTGGAACATATGAGTTTTAAGATTAAATGAAAGTGCCATTCGTAACAGTACCTAAAAGATAAAGTAATTGGGCATAAATTCAGTAATATATTGTAAAACCTACAGGAAAAGAGTACCACATATCTATAAAAAGGCATTTCAAAGGATGTTACTAAATTTGAAAAACATGGCATCTTAACTACTATATGATATATCTTACTAAATTAGAAATATATTAATTTGTCCTAGATATAACTAAATACACAAGGCAATCATAGTAAAACATGTAGAGTCCTTGAAATTTGAGAGAATATAAAAAAATTTTAATAAGTAAATGAAGCCAGGTATGGTGGTGCATGCCTGTAATCCCAGCACCTGGGAGGCTGAGGCAGAAGAATCCTTGCAAGTTCAAAGCCAGCCTGAACTGCACTGCACAATGAAACGCTGCCTAAAAAGATATAAATGAATAAATTTAACAAATACTAAGGAGGAAAAGTAATTTGGTAAATGGATAGAGAATAGATTCTGAAGTTAAATATAATCAAAATAGCTCAGTACTAGAAAGTAAGTACATTGATGTTATGGCTGCAGTCCAGAAACAAAGCCAAATATATGAGAATTTATTTTATAACAAAACTAGCATTTCAAATCAGAGGAAGACCAAAGGATTAATTGTTAAATAGTAGAAAAATTTAAACTGGATATTCATGCCAGTTTATACAATCATTCCTGATGAATGGACATTATAAATAATGTTAGAACTATTTCTAAGAACACATATTTTAAGATATAATACAACTTAGAAATCTTTATTAATCTTTATTGTTAAATGCCCTTCATCTTTCTCCCAGGAATTCCATTACTAGGAATTTGTCTTTCATATGTATCTGCAAAAGTTCACCGAGACGTGTGTACCAAAAATGTTCATTAGTTATTGTGTTATGTTTGCAATGTAGGGGACGGGGGAGGGGGGAGGGAGTTTCATATCCAGATATGGAACACTGTTTATTGCTTTAAAAGAATGAGCTAAATCTACACAGGCTAATGTGGAAAGAGCTTCAAAACATATATAAACGCATTTTATGAAGAACAGAGAACATAACAGTGTTATGGTGTTAAATAATACATATTAGATTTTGTGTTTATGAAGAAACACAAATAACTTTCAGTAAGAACAAAGTACATGACAGTGTGATGGTGTTAGACAGCATACATCAGACCTTGTGTTTGACAAGGAATACAGAGAGCAAGAAGAATAAAGACAGAAATAAAGCAGAGCTCGCTCGCGATGGGGGGGCTGGGAGATGTGCGGGTGCCATGACTTCCGGATCGTGCAGGTGTCCGTAGGCATTTTCATTGTTCTCCTTTAAAACACTGCAGAAGGACACCGGGAGGAGATGACCACTCGGAAGGTGCAAGGAGCTACCTGTAGCTGGAAGTTTCTGACATCCCAAAAGCTCACAGGCAGTCACCACATCTTTGTGTTTGCTTGCTTTTCTCACGTGTGTGTGTGCATAAAACATATCATAGAGCATGCACTATATGTATTTATCTTCACAGATGTTACATATGACATGCTGTTCATAATTTTATTTCCATATGTATGAATTATTTCACTTTCTTAGAGCTCACAGGTATTACTTTTTAAATCCAAAAGAGACAGAAGCCGGCGGGCACCCATGTGAATGACACCAGGCTAAGCCATGCCGCTGACCTGAGCACCTGTCCCCACCCAGCCCCGAGCCCTCTCCAGCCAGTGTCACCCATTGCCAGCCCCAGGGGACTCAGGTCAGTAGAACCAAAGCAAATGGACCCCCAGCCCCTGCAACGTGAAGCACTGTCTCTCGTGGCTGCTCTAGGGATGCTGGACACACACAGCCCGTGGCAACTCCGTGGAGGAAGCAATGTCGTCCCCGGGCAGGGCCTTCCCTCTGCTCCACTGACCACACTTCTCCAAGGCTGACCCACAGAGCTCCTAGAAACTACAGCAGGAAGAAGGGGAGAAAAAAGCAGGTGCAGAGAAAGTCCACAAGGAAAAACAAAGATAAAGAAACTTAGAATTCAGTATCCCTCTTTTAATGCTGGTACGTAGAGTCATCACAACAGACATCTAGGAAACTCCCAGCTGTCTCCACTCTCACAAGCACCAAACACAAACACACTGAGAGCCAGGCACAGTGGTGCACACCTGTAACCCCAGCACTCTGGAGGCTGAGGCAGGAGGATGCACCTTCTAGGCCGGCTGGGGCTACTTCGTAAGACCCTGCCTCAAAAGACAAATAAGAAATAAAACAAGGGCTTGGCGTGTAGCTCAGTACAAGGGCCTTGGATTCAGCGTCCACATACTGATCGTGATCAGCGTACTTAGCTACACTAGCAGCTGAGGTGCACTGTTGACGAGGCTTGCTTGTTGTCTGCTTCCTGGGGTCCCAGCAAGCCCTGGGGGTTCTCCTGCTCTGTGTCTTTTGCTTTGCCCTCTTCCGTCATCTCTTCCTTATTTCTTTCCATGCAGTCAAAGCATCTGTATGAATTCTTAGCTGTGTTGTGACTTTCTTCATTCTACCAACGTGACTTTTACTGCTATCCTACATTACCCCTTGTCGGCTGTCCCGTGCTTTGCTTGGTTTGCCCTTTTTGGTCAGAGTCTCCCTTGCCAAGCTTTAGACGGCTTTGAGGGAGCCGAGTTTACACTCGCAGTGCGAAGATGCAGCTCTGGAAAAGACGGGCCCCGGGGCTGGGTTAAAACGGCTTCAATCAGGAGTGAACTTCTGAGCCTGTGTGAGCTCCAGGATTCATCAGGAAGAAAAACAAGAAGGACACAGTGCGAGCTGCGAGGCCTCCTCTAGTCCAACCAAGAAACCCGGCTGCCACCAGCTTTTAAACACAACAGTGGCGGGAGTCGAGTGTCCCTGCCTCGGGCGAGCAGAGCTGTGCATCTCCCAGGAGTCTGTAATCACCCTCCTTGCCCAGGGCCCCAGCCGTTCTCTCCACAGCCAGCCTGATGGCAGATGTTTGGGACTTCTCTTTCTACTGCCTGACCCAAGGCAGGATATAAAAGGGTTCCGTGAGTGTACATCTGAGTCTGAAACCCTAAGCGGTCCTTGCCTTGACACACATCGAGAGAACTCTGACGCAAGCACTGGCTGCTCCAGCTCACCAGGCGGGTCATGAAAACGCAAGGGTCATGGAACCTGTGGCGGCCAAATATTACCCTCGAGGCTAAGATCGCCACGGAAGCTCAGGACAGAGGAGGAAGACGAAGGCCGAAGAGCAAGCCAACAAACTAAAAGTACTCAGAAATATCAAAGGGAGACTGTTACTGGACAAGAGAGGGGGCTGGGAAGGTTGGATATGGCAGGTAATGGCAAGTGATAAAGGAAGTTGGAAGCCGGGCGTCGTGGCGCACATCTGTAATCCCAGCACTCTGGAGGCTGAGGCAGGAGGATTGCTGAGAGTTCAAGATCAGCCTGCGCTACAAAGTGAGTTCAAGGTCAGCCTGAACTACAGAGTAAGACCCTGTCTCAAAAAGGGGGGGAGGGGAATTTTAATCAAAACACATTGTATACATTGAAGCCCTAACAAAATGTAAAGGGGGGTACAGGAAATGGGGGGTGATTAATTAAGTATGTCAAGTACATGTACAAATCTGCCCCTAAGTTATACATTAACAATAAATTAATTTTTCAAAAATACTAAGAAGCATCAAGGCAGAAATATGTAATGAGCATAGCAGAGGCTCTGAATTCCTTGTGCGGTATTTGGCTGATACTTTTATGAGCTTCAAATTATATTGCTGCCTTTTAAATGACAGACTCAGATAATGTCATTTCACTTCAAAGATAAAGCCAGTTCTAGAATCTTGCAGAGCCAATGTCTTTATAAATAGATGTGCTTTTTCAGGAAGGAACTTTGAATTTTAAAAATGTATCTACAATATGACCTTCATAACTATGCTATGTGTTGCTTGTTTCTCCCAGAAGCATAATTTCACGCTTTAAAGAAGCATGAATATACATCATGATTTCTTTCACTCAAATTTGTAGTGCAGCTGGGAACAAGTGAAATTGTTTTAACTTAGTTGGGGAAACCCCTTTTTCTAGAATGTTCCATTTTACGGTATACATACAGAGGTGGGGCCCTAGAATTCTGGAGATTCAGGAAAACGATGAGAACTGAATGACACTACCACGGAAACCCTAATGGATGACA